TTAAAAAAATGATGAAGAAATTATTAAAAAAAAATATTTGTTACAAAAAAAAATTGAAAAAAAATTGGAAAAAAAATTTTTATGCCCAAAAAAATATGTATGAATAACTTTCATTCAGCAATTCCTGGGCCATATTGCAATATTTTTGTCTCTGTTAAAAGTTGTGCACGATTTGACAATGCTTTTTTTCTTTCAATTCGACCTTCTTTAGACTCCAAACTACTGCGTCTATTTGCTTGATCTATTCGGCTCATATCAATATTTTCAGACCATGTAGTTGCTTTTTTTCCAATCTTGATACTCATGAGGTTCATAATTTTCAGATAAGTTTTTGCTCCTTCCTTAAATAAACAAGCTGCAATCCAAGCTGCAATTTCCACAACATTTTTACTAAAAAATTTTGTTTTTGGAGTAATTTGTCAAATTAAATTATTATAACTTCCATTAGCATTTTGTGTGTTGTGGCCAAGACATCTCTTCAGTAAGTCGTCATTGCTGAGAGATTCGTATACAGGTAAAATATAACTTTGTATACTTGGATCTAGTGGTGGCTTATGACTATAAGGCTTATTTTTTCTTTTACTTTTTAAGTAACGACACCAATATTCATTGCAGTACTCGTGTCGAGGAAACTCATTCGTAGATATCCTATGGTAATAACCAGCGAGAATCTCTTTTTTCATATTTTCAACTGAATCCGGATATCTTTGAATGGCAAGACTATAGAAAACAGACATTTATCGAATGATTTTTAAAGTTGATTTAGTTACTTTGGGAGGTTTTGATACTGCAGATTCATCATTTCTAATCTCAGATTTTGTTCGTCTACCCCTTTTCTTCGGCACTGGCTTTTCGGTAGAAATGTTATTATTATCTGCATCTGCCATGGCTTTTTTTTTCTTCTTTTTCCAAAATTTTAAAATTTTTTTTTACTTCAACTAGTCTTCGGTACATACGCTTGCCTACGTGAAGAACACATTCTAATTTATTTACTATGAATTCATTGCCGTAAGGATTTGCATCGACTATATTCGTATATGTTTTACTGTCTCCATCCCCGATATAATTATGATAAAAAACATTATATAATTCTTTTGATCGTTGAAAAATTGTAATAGCTTAGTCACATTCCATTTTACCTGAAGATCCAGTGTGATTAGCCGAGCATTCTTCTTTATGTTCCTCATACCACATCGTAAACTCAACTTCATTATATTTTTTTTTATGTTGACTAAAAGATAAACAGAATGATGATTTAAAATTCAAGTCTAACACTTTTCCAGAATATTTACCAACTATAGTAAATACACCAATTAAAGATGTGAATCCTCTTTTCATCCAAGTTCCTGAATACTGATACTGAGAGATAAGTAGGCGTATTACCGTTTTCTTCGTTCAATTTAGTTTCTTCGTTAACTGCTTTTTTTGTAACAAAGTCGAAACATTGTTTTGCGGCATTATGGATTCTTGAGATAGCACCATAATATAAATTATGCGAAAAACTAGAATTAATATCCATCAAACTCAAGAAAGATGTTAATCCATTATGACCCAAGCCGAGAACTCTCGTTGCAAAAACTATTCTTTGATTTGTTTCAAAGGTATTATTTGAAATCGATGGAGACGATTTAATAAATTTTTGTCCACATGAACATTCAAGGCATAATTGCTACCCAACATCCCTGCTTCTTCGTTGTGTGAACGCAATTTTACTATTGCAATTGTTACACTTCACGTATTCAGAAAGTGTAGAAAAAACTAAATTGAAGCACAGAATCACGAAATTGATGGAAAAGTCAGTGGGAGTTTTTAAATCGTTGTTATTTTTTAACTTTTTGGCCGAAGTACTTGGTAATTCTCTTGTGAATTGATTTCCTCTAAATTTTCTTTTGTAACAGTAATGGTTTCGTTTCTTTTTTTGATTAGTTTTTGAACCGCTACCATTTTGCGCTGGGGTCATCGTAGATACGTTATTTAATATTTAATTTTTTAACACGTTATAATGTATGCTAAATAAAGCTCTATTCGAGAATAAAGCTACTAAGACACTTACAAATTTTTCGTAATTATGTAAATAAATCAAAAACTTTCATAGATAGGATATAAATATAAACAAATGACATATACAATTAAAGTAAGCCGATCGGGCCACGCGCGGTAGGCCATAAATTTTTTTCCTTCATAAATTTCGTTCTAAAATTTTAACAGACTATTTTCATGATGTTAAAGAACGATTTTATGTAAAAAAAAAAAAAAAACGATTTTTTCAAAATTTGCAATGGGAGTGTCCCCTTAACAGAAAGAACTTTGTGCAAATACCAACTTAGTCACAATTGCAGTTTACTGTTCGAATAAAAAAATTTGATGACAATGATTAATAATTTTTCAATGAGAGCATTATAACGACATGAGCGATCGGGCATACTTAATATCACATGTTGAATAACTTGTAAATGAGTTTGAATTCGGGCAAAGTATTGTATTGTTTTCATGATTATAATATATTAAAATTTTTATTAGCGACAACAGAACTTCAATATCAACGTGACCGATTCATTGTTATGTTTTACGATTCGATTATAATTAGTATTAAAACATAAAAATAATCGTCAAAGATGTACTTACAATTATTAGCTACATTTACAACAATTACGGAGATAATTCATTAAAATATTAAAATATCGAAATAATCGTCAAAGATGCATTGTGTGCATATTGTTTACCCATTAACCATGAAACAATTCTTAGTCAGTGGTTAACCTATTATCACAATAATACTTTCGTACTTATGCATTCAGACTTTCAGTACGAAATATCACTTTGCGTGCCCAGAGCTTTTTGGCATACATGTGAACAAAACCAAGTGAACATGACTCAAATTACCTCTTATCAGTGACCGTAAAATTTCCACAATAACATTTTTAATTTCTTAGATTACATACATTCAATCGGTTAACGACATATGTCATCTTCGTAAAAGCATTGTTAGTATAATAAATATAATGCATTGGTTGGCATGGTGGCAGGATGGCAAGTGATACCTCGATTTGGAGATCTTCTCCCAAGACACTAAAAGTGCTAGCGATGTTGGCCAGTCAAAGGCCCAATTTCGAGTACCGAGTCAACGTGACTCTCTGAGAAAGCACATTTTCAAATGCGTTCTGCTCCTTTGTGAATTACACAAGTGCATCCGTGTCATTATCGATAAATAGGAATATCCACGTATTGACCTGCTGAAGTATCTTGGTACTGCCATGTTTTCCTAATGCTATTGTTTATGTGCGTGTGTGTGGAAATGTGTGAATGTTAGTCGCGATCTATCGAGCCAAACAAGTTTCGGAGGTATCACATTTTACATTTGTTAGTGTACAAACTTTTTTATAACTCTAACAAAAATTCCAGAAAACTTAGCCCATAAAGGGTACTTTCCTGAAGATTTTGGGCCATACCAAAAGTCCTTACGTCAAAAACTCTGATCTGAACCTTGCGCACAGTGCCTAAATGCCAAAATAACATAAATAAGCTATTTTTAAATGCAAAGGCCTACTCTTCAACTTTATCCGCATTTTTCATTCACATTAACCTCGTATTATTCCTCGAAAAATCTCATCGTCAGAAAATACGAGAATTTTTTATTTTTCTTTCCTTTGCAACATATGAATCAAAAATCTATATAATTTGAAACAATGCCTCAACCTCCAGGTTATATTTTTCGTTTGTGTACATTTCTTATGAAAAATTGTGCTGAGTTTTTTTAATATCATCTGCGGTTGTTTCCTTACTTATTATATAGTTTGCCATTAACATCGGTTAAAAACTATAATTAAAAATTGAACACATATGGGGCGAAACACCTTTGTTGCCCCAGCACCTCGCAAGAGTGACAAAAACGGCCCGATCTCTCAGTTTTCAGCTCGCTTGCAAAGGCTCAAATAAAATTCAGAAAAATTAATTTAAAACGGTTATTAATAGGTTTTGACCTCAGATTTCGAGCGGTATGATCAAAAATCAAAAATATGCCTCCACAACCTCAAAAAAGTGACTTGAAGATAAAACACGTTGTAACTTCCAGAGTTACACTCCAATCGACTTTTAGAGTAGCTAGATCGAAAGATCTCGCAATTTTACTTCGGAATTAGTCCTAAAAGAAGTGGGCATTTTCAATTTTCTCGATCAGTGAAGGAGGAAAAAGCATTTTTTGAGCGTTTTGGTGGGTTACTCGTCGGGCTACGACTTTACTTGATTTTTTAATACACTAAATTACTCGCACAAAAGTAAACAAATATATGACTTCGATGTATTTTTTCTTCAGTTTTTTGATGGTGTAGTTAGTTTTTAGAAAATATACTTTTTTCAATGAGTTATTAAAAGAAAGCGTAGACAAGAACGATTTGTTTTAATATTTTTTGCATTTTATCATTGAGAAAATCATTTTTTCCAAAAATATGTATCACTATCAAAAAGCTGAGAAAAAATACATCGAAATCATATATTTGTTTACTTTTGTGCGCGTAACTTAATGCATTAATAAAGCAAGGAGAGCCGTAGCCCGCCAAGTGACCCGCCAAAACGATCGAAAAATGCTCTTTCCTCCTTCACCGCTCAAGAAAATCGAAAATACTCATTTTTTAAGACTATTACGAAGTAAAATCGCGAGATCTTTCGATCTAGCTATTCTAAAAGTCGATTGGAATTATGAAGGAACATTTTTGCATTTTTGACTATACCCATTGAAAGCTGAGGTAAAAACCTATTGAAACCCCTATAAGTTATTTTTTCTGAATTTTATTTGAGCCTTTGCAAGCGAGCTGAAAACTGAGTGATCGGACCGTTTTGGTCACTCCCGCGAGGTGCTGGGTCAACAATAGTGTTTTGCCCCATATGCTCTATATTCTGATTGATGACAAAATCATTCTTATCATAAAAATTAGGGAGCGATGATAGACAAATTTTATAAAATAATATATTAATCTACGTTTGAATCTATCAAATCTATTTAGTCAGCAAAAAGATTGCCCACAAGTTCAAGAAAATTCAGCCTACATCCTGTTTCCGGCGTACAGTACCTATTTTCGATTGGTTACCTCGTTATAAATGGAAAAAAGATTTATATGGAGATATCATTGCGGGAGTTACAGTTGCGGTCATGCATATACCTCAAGGTAAGAAACCAGGGCTCTATAGACTGTATTTAAATTACGTGAATAATGAATAATTTTTATTAACAGGTATGGCTTATGCAATGTTAGGAAACGTTCCTGCTATAACTGGAATATACATGGCATTTTTTCCTGTACTTATCTACTTTATATTTGGAACATCAAAACACAATTCTATGGGTAGGTTATAGTATAAATATTCTATTTTTTTAATGATTTTATATCCGCAATGATGAAAATAAATATAAATATAATTATTCGTTGACAAAATTGTATTCATACCAACAAAATGTTTATGCGTTAGGTACTTTTGCTGTCATTTGTATGATGACTGGTAAAATTGTCTTAGCTCATAGTACTTTTCTTGCATCGAATCCGAACAATTCCACTGCTTTACATACGGATTACAAAGTATCTGCGAGCCAAGAAGTAAATTTATATTCACCTACAGAAGTTGCTGCTGCCGTGACATTCATGGTTTCGATTATGCAGGTAATGTTAAAACGATATTACTAATTCATGAAGTTTAAAGTGTTATATTTTTTGAAGCATAATATATCATTTATCTGGATATAAAAACATCTAAGGCATATTCACGTGCACTGCCTTTATTGACTTTGATGTAATATATTAATTGTGCGAGGTAAATATTTAATCCTAATTTCGAAAATACTGATTTTGAAACATTATATCGTTACTTCAGCGCAGAAAAATATCTTTAAAGGAATACATAATTTTCAATCCAACTAAAAATTTTTTATTGGATTTTTCAGTATCCCCCCCTTTTCATAGAATTTTTCGAAATTGCAAAATTTTGATTTTGCACTGAGATACAGCTTATTCTGTGAGGCTTATTCTTATACTTTACGTGTTAATTTTTTTCTTCTTTTCATTTTCCTGGTGAGTAGTGTTTTTGATCATCTGTCGTAACTTTCAGAGCATATGTATGAAGCTTTAGCACCAGGGTCGCGTACACTTCCTCAGAACATCAATGCTTACGGCCTCTACCACAAGAGAGGCGATCAAACACGCGATTGCTCTGCATGAACAGTTAAGCACGCATTTTTTTTCCATTTTTCGTTATTGCCGAAATGTAAATCATAAAAGTTCTGTTTAAGAGTGACCTATTGGTTCGATCTACTCATCCGAGGTAGTGACCTTAACCAGTATGTTCTAAAGAGGTTTACACGACCCTGGTGCTGAAGCTGAATCGGTACTCTCTGAAAGTTACGACAAACAACCAAAAACACTACTCACCAGAAACGGCAAAAGAAGAAAACCTTTAACACCGAAAGTATAGGAAAAAAGCCCACTAAAGCAGCTGTGTCTCAGGGCCAAATCAAACTTTTAAAATTTCAAAATAAATAAATCTTACTCAAAGATCCATTAAAAAAATTTTGAGTTTAAAGTATATCTGTCCCCTTAAGGGCAAACAGGAGGCGTAAAATCGAAAAAATCATTGTATTTTTGAGTAGATTTTTTTCTCCTTTTTCCATAACATTTCTTAAAATTGCAAATTTATTTATTTTTTACTGAGATACAGCAATTTCCATGAACTTTTTTTGTTTACTTGTATACAGACCATGTAATTGTTTGTTTTTATGGCGAAAGCCTAACGCGTGAAAGGTAAAGAAACGTAAAGTGTAGCGAAAAAACAGGCCACGGCCCTCGAAAACAGCCGACCGCGCTCTCTTTCCCTCTTCACCGCTCGAGAAAATCGAAGAAGTCCCGTTTTTTAGAGTCATTTCTTATGTAAAATCGCAAGATCTTTCGATCTAGCTAGTCAGAAAGTCGATCGGAGTGTAACTCTGGAAGTTACAACGTGTTTTATCTTCAAGTCCATTTTTTGAGGTTATGGAGGCATATTTTTCATATTTGACCTCATCAGTAGGAAGCTGAGGTAAAAACCTATCGAAACCCGATGTTAGTGTATTTTTCTGAATTTTATTTAACCCTTTGCGAGTGAGTTGAAAACTGAGCGATCCGGCCGTTTGCGCTGCCCGCGCGTGGCACTGGGGAATTACTCGCGTTTTTACCCATATGTGCGAGCGCTCTGAAGTACGTTGCCATATCACCCCCCTACGCAGTATATAACAAGTATTTAACAAGCATTTAATAAGTATTTAACAAGAATGTATTAAATATTTAAATGCAAAAATGAACACGGCGAGTCGTAGCAGGAACAGGCGTAGACGAATGGTTCGAGCCACCGGAAACTGTAGAACTGGGGTTGACAATTTTCTTGATCGCTGACGTTGTAGAAACGTGGTCGTCTAAAACGTAGGCAGGTTTCATAGGATCAATAGATACGGTGACAATTTTTCCTCGAATATCGAGCTTGAAGGTTTTGTCTGAACGTCCTAGCACCTCCAAGGACCAGAAAACGGCGTTCTCACCAAAGCCTTGGAAATCGCCTCGTCACGCAGCAATACGTATTTGCAGTCCCGCAAATTTTGATAAACAAAGACGCGGGGCTGGCAGTGTTTAGAAGCGGGCACAGGTTGTAAGCGATGCATGATAGTATGTAGCCGATGCACTAGACTGCAAGCGTCGATGAAAGATGTTGGAGCTGCAGTCGTAAACAACTCGCCGGGCAGGGGCAGAGCTTCTCCATAAACCAATTCACTGGTCGTTGACGAAATATCCTCCTTGAAAACTGAGCGAATACCAAGCAGCACCATTGGTAGAGCTTCAAGCCAATTCTCTTGTTGATGGACCAAAAGTGCAGCTTTTAGGTGTTGGTGTAAGTTTTCGACGATTCCATTTGACTTCGGATGCCAGCTGCTTGTATGTCGGAGCTGTATACCAAGATGCTTAGCCAGATCATTGAATAAGTGCGACATGAATTGACCACCGCGATCAGTCGTCAACACGTCGGGACATCCGAAACGTGAAATCCAAGCTTGAAGTAAGCCGTTGCATACCGATTCCTTTGGCGTGTTCTTTAACGGATGCACTTCTGGCCAACGAGTAAATCTATCGATGATGGTCAAGCAATACTTGTACGAATCGACAGTAGGCAGCGAACCGATCAAGTCGATGTGTACGTGTGAAAAACGCCGCGACGGCTGTGCAAACGAACTCAATGGTGAGTGCACGTGTCGAGTTACTTTCGACTTCTGGCAGGCTATTGGGCGTCGAACTCTATATATATAGCACATCAAGATGGCGGCGTACCCCCGGCGATTAACATTGTAGGGTATAGGATTTGACATTGTTTTATTAAATAATATTTATTGAGGTGATTAATATATGTGATTGGGCGGGGGAAAATACTGACCAGAGGAAGTACATTGAAGGTGAACGAATATTTTAGGCCGGGCATGTGATTTTATGTGGTATAAAAGAAAATACCGAAAGTGGTGGGGTTAAAGTAACAGCTTTGTGTTTACAAACGTCTAACTTGAATGATAAACCTCACGAAGTCAATGTAGAAATTGACGAGCATGGGACAATTTTGAATTGCCATTGCAATGGCAAGGCTGGCGAGTCAAGGCAGTGCAAACATATCTTGTCCACATTGCTCTACATCTATTAGTACGTATTTTCATTATATAATTTCTAATTTTTAAGTAAAACTTCTTTTTATTTACAATTAAATATTTTTTTTTTCATTTTATAGCAGTGATGAATTGCCATTCCTATCAAGCACTGACATGGAGTGTGAGTGGAAAAAAAATGTAAGCTTGAAACAATATGAGCCTAAAAAACTCCACACTCATGAGTGTATGAAAAAAGAAATTAACTTGGGGCCGTCAGAGCCTGATTATGATGTCTCACTTCCAGAGGAGCAGAAAAGAAAATTGGTTGAGTTAGGGTTGGAATTGTCTGACAGTGCGTTTGCAAAACACAAGTATGCTAAAAATATCTATACATGATCCTATGTAAAAGTTTTTATCAATATTTTAAAAAAATTATACTTATTTTTCATTTTAGAACAGGTCGACATGGTCAATTTCAACTACCAGAAATTTCTTTTTGTACACCTGAGGAACTGGAAGCAATAATTAAGATATTTAATCTCCAAGAAAATAAATTAATGAAAATTATCCAAGAGTTTAATGTTGAACGACTGGACGAGTGCTGCAGCAAGGCCTTAGCAAGTGTGTCCAGTGATTATGTAAATTTGTGCTTAGAATCCAAAGAATATTATGATGTTCGGATGAAGGAAAAAACAAAGCGTATCACAGACACAAATCGCTATGGCTTGTTCACTTATCTTAAAAATAAAACTCCAGACTGGCCAAAGAAATTAAAGAGATCCTTTTATCCACTTTCAATTTCTAGTACTTTCATTGAGCATGGAAATAACTTGGAGGATCAAGCAAGGAGATGCTTCATCCAATCGACCAATAATTTGGTATTTTGTACAGGACTAGTGGTATCTCAGCAAAATCCATGGTTGGCTTGTTCACCTGATGGAGTTATTTTCAAAGACAATCAACCTCATGCCGTGTTGCAAATCAAGTGTCCTTCTGAAGGGGCAACTACATGCATTGAAAAAACTGTGCAAGCTTCAATAAAAACTTTATTAGTTTATGATGATAAAAAAAACATAGTTTTGAAGACTAAACATACCTATTATGGTGGAGTACAACTTGGAATGAGTATTATAAATGTAAGTGTCGCCTATCTTGTGATATACTCATCTTGTGATAATGAAGTATTTATAGTTACAGTCCAAAGAAATGATACATTTTTACTAAAATTGTTGAAAGATTTAAAAAAATTATATTATAACAAAATTCTACATTTTATGTGCTTGGAAAATCAAAAGTCTTGAAAAGTTAATTGCCCATGAACAAGCCAAGGTGTATAATGTTTGAATAGTTTAAGTATTTTATAATCACCTAAGACAAAATGTGTTCAAAATAGTCACATGTCCAAAGAATTGTTATTTGCAACAGTTTGTTAGATTCATTTTTATAAAATTTTCTTTATTTCCAGTTTGTTAATTTTATGTAAATGAATATGTTTTAAAATAAATGTATAAATGCATAAATGTAAAATGTATAAATAAAATAAATTTTGTTTAATTTATGCACATAAAATATTTATGACTCAAGATAGGAGCATTTAAATTAACTGTTGCACACAATACTTTAAATATTTCATTAACTACTGGCAGTAAATGTGCTGGCATTTTTGCTCCAACAGTAGACCACTTCTTTATGCGTTGATTGGCACGTTCAACATGCACCATTGCACAAGCGATTTTTGCATTAGAAAGAGCTTCAGCCTCTAAAAATTATTTATTCTCTTGAAGGAATGGTGGTCGAATACACTTCCATCTGTTTTTAAGGCACAGCTCTCCTATCATGAAACCTTTATCGACCATTACTGCATCACCAGGCTCTAATAAATTTATCACTTCACTTTGGCCAAAAATAGTTGTGTCACTCACTCTGCCACCATAAGTATCACTGACAAATGTTATTGTTCCAGCCGGAGATACCCCAGTCATGAACTTCATAGTCGTTGCCCCTTTGTAG